CCGCAGCTCCGCAGCGCCCGCCGCCATCTTCGTGTCGGGCGGAAGCGGCCGCGCCTCACTTCCGGCGCGCCCGGCGGTTGCCATGGCGGCGCGTTGCTAAGGACCGCGGTTGCCATGGAGACGGGAGGGGAGGCTGCGTCTGGCGGAGCGGGCCTCTCTCAGAGGACGCGGCGCGGTCGATGGCGATTTGCACTGCAGAGGGAGGCGTGCAGCCCTCCCGCCGCCTGGGAGGGCAGTCGATGGCCGCTTCATTCCTGCATGGTCCTCCAGGAAAGAGGCGCTGGGATGTATTAAAAGGAATTGATGTAGCGATCCGTGTGGATGCGGGCCCTTTGAAATCCGGGAGGCTGCCGCCAGCTTTCCCCCAGGCCTCTGTCTGCCCGCGTTCACCTTTCTCTTATCGACTGCCACAGGTGACACTCGCGAAGAAGAGAAGCACTAATGAATGGTGCAGCCAACCCCAGCCGCGCCACTGCCTTCAGCTGGCACTCACAATTACACGGATTCCTGACAGGGATGATACTAATTCATAGTAGCAGCATCTGCCACAGAAAAAGTTCAGAGGCTTTCCCAACCACAGAGCAAGAAGTATCCTAGGGAAGACTGTGGGCAGCAGGTCAAGGGAGGTGATCCTGCCCTCTACTCAGCCCTGGTAAGGGGGCACATCGGGAGTGCTCTGTCCCCTTCTGGGCTTCTCAGGACAGGGAAAACAAGGAGATACCAGAGAGGATCCAGCAGAGGCCACAAGGATGATTTGGGGTCTGGAGCATCTCTCTTCTGAGGAGAGACTGTGGGAGCTGGTCCTGTTCAGTCTGGAGAAAAGACTGAGGGGATCTCATAAGTGCATATAAATATATCAAAGGCTGGTGTCAGAGGGGATGGTGCCAGGCTCTCTCAGTGGTGCTCTGTGACAGGATGAGGAGCAATGGCCATAAGCTAAAAGAGAAGGAAGGACTTCATTATCCTGAGGGTGTTAGGGCACTGGAATGGCTGCCTAGGGAGGTTGTAGAGTTTTCCTCTCTGGAGACATTCCAACACCATCTGGATTTGTTCCTTTGTCACCTGCTCCAGGTGACCCTGCCTTGGCAGGGGGGTGATCTCCAGGGGTCCCTTCCAGGCCTGATGATTCTGTGATTCCATGAATTTTCAAAGCACGTTCTGTCATTCTCTGTATCCCAGGCCTCAGCCCCATCATGTACAAATTTCCTCAGAATTGCCAGGATGAACATGGGCCTGGGTATTGCACTGCCATAGCCCAGGCACCAGGGAACACCACGTCAAGGTTCCAGGCCACTCTTTAGATAAAAACTATCTGCTTACAGCAGGTATTTGCTAACATCACTGATAATGTGGGCTGCATGGCTTTGGGGAACCCTCCCATTGCCCTCTGCTGAAAGCTAAACCCACTGTGCCCTGAAAAATCGTTGTCCTTACAGGTACATTCCAACTGAGCATCGTACAGGATGCAGGAGGGAGCTGTGGGGTGGCCTAGTGCCCCAGCAGCCCTCATGCCCCCCCAGATCCCCTGCAGGAGCTGTGCAGAGCACTCAGGCAGCAGGAGAAGGCTGAGGCTTCGTGTGCGCTGCCTTTTCTTCCCAGGGATCGATACCTGGGATCTTCAGAGGGCGAAGAGCTGAGCTTTGTTCCACAAAGGCAACAAATAGAAACGGCTTCATTAGCAGGAGTGCCCGGGGGCTGCAGCAGGGGCCGGGGGCTGCAGGGGGGCAGGGCTGGGCACACGGCCATGGCCTCTGCTTCTCTAAGCCATGGCCTGTGCTCAGAATGAACCAGCTCTACCATGGACTGGGCCCAGCATGATGGGCAATGCCCCAAACACACAAATGCCTGTACTAGAGGGTCCCAGACCACCCAGTACCCTGAGCTGAGGAACTCAGGCAGCACTGAGGTGGGCTTTGGGACTGTCCCCATCCACCCTTCAGAGTTCCATCCAGTTTGCAAGCCTTGGAAGGGTGTGACGGTGTTTGCAGGGGTCTTAGGATGAGGGAAGAGACAAGAATGATGACTCTATGTTTCAGAAGGCTTGATTTATTATTTTATGGTATATATTATATTAAAACTATACTAAAGGAATAGAAGAAAGTATTTAATCAGAAGGCCAGCTAAGAATAGAAAAAGAATGGAATGATAACAAAACCTTATGTCTTGGACAGAGAGTCAGAGCCAGCTGACTGTGATTGGCCGTTAATTAGAAACTACTACATGAGACCAATCACAGATGCACCTCTTGCGTTCCACAGCAGCTGATAATCATTGTTTACATTTTGTTCTTGAGGCTTCTCAGCTTCTCAGGAGAAAGAAATCCTTAGGAGAGGATTTTTCAGAAAACATCATAGCTACAGAAGGGGGCTGCAGCTGCAGCACTGGTTGCCCACAGCCCAGCACATGGAGCCTGCTCCCTGCTCCTGCGGAATGAGAGCAGGCCTTTGGCCACGTCCCCATCCCTGGAGCCTGAAGGGGCACACTGGTTCAACCACTTGGCCCCGGCCCAGTGCTGCAGCTGGATTCAATGTTCCATCGGCTGGGCTGGATTGTCCCCTCATCCTCCACCTTCTCTCTCCTGCTCAATTACAGTCCCTGCGGGACATGGGGAAGCAGGCATCAATCACGGCTGGTTACTCAGGTGACAGCAGCTGTGTCCCCGAGCTCCCCAGGGAGCACGGATGCACACATCACCCTCCGAGCCCGGTAATGAGTGGGGACGCGGGCCCGCATGTGCCCTTGCCGGCTCCCTGGGGCTGCGCTGCTCAATGAGCCGCGGCCAGCATTTCACAGCAGTGCAAAGGGACACGAGACCCCAATTAAGGCTGCATCAATCCCACTCCCAGCTCTGCTTGGTACACTCACAAACAACCCCCACACACATGCACACACCCCTTGTTGTTCATGAACCTTTCTCCATCCCCTGTGGCCAGAAGACAGGGGTGGACCCGCCAGACCACCAGTCCTCTGCAGGGGTTCTGTGTCACCCCCATGCCCTCCCAGCGTGACACCCCCACCCTCCGCGTCATCACCCCCGTGTCCCGAGGCTGGCTCCGGGGCGGGCAGCGTTGCTGCAGCACCCTGGACAGCGACACCGCTCCCCCGGGTGGGCTCGGGGTCCGGGCTGGGGTGCCCCTTTGCCCTGGGAATGTCGGCGGGACTCTGGGTTGTGGGTGCTCCTGAGGGGCTGGGGCTGTTCCCGGAGGAATGGGGCCTGTCCTCGAAGGGCTGAGCTGGGGCTGTACCTGAGGAACTGCGGCTGTCCCCGGGGAAGCTGTGTGTCCCCAGGGGTCCGAGTCTGGCCTCAGTGATGGGGGACTCAGACAGGAGTTTCTGTCCCCGTGGGAGTCCCCTGTGCCTCTTCAAATGTACAGGTGGCTGCACACGTGTGGAAGCCCATGTGCGAGCCTGAGTGTGACGGTCTGAGTGTACATGCCACTGAGTTTGTACAAGGGAGCACAAGCCACCACCCACATGTATGTGCACCTCCCAGCTCCACCATGGTCACCTGTGTCCTCTGCGGGCACTGCTTAGGTGCCAGGCTGGTGCATTACTGCTGGCATCTCACCAGGTCCAACCTGACAGCCCCATGGACATGGTCTCAGCAGCTCCAGTGTCATGTTTCCTTCCCTGGCACAGGGCAGCCTAACAGGATCCCCACCCATGGGTGAGCTGCCACTGGAGGCTCATGGGGGCAAGCCCCACAGCCTGGCTGGCACACCAGGAGCTGGTGCCCTGTCTGATCCAGCCCATGTCTGTGAGCTCTGGTGGGCATAGGGCACCCATTTGCAACTTGAGAGTTCCCAGAAGCTGAGCTGGAGGCAAGCATGAGGTGGGCTGTGAAACCTCAGGCACCACAGGTGTTACCCCAGACTGTTGGGGTGTCCTGCACCTCCAAATTGGGCCCTGGAGCTCGGTAGGTGGCACCATGCCCTGCACATAATCCTCAGCACCGGTTTGGTTCAGGAGTTTGTTTCCTTTAATAGACAGACGGAGTCACGGCCACAGTGGGAGCGCAGGGAGCAGCCGGCGCCGCCGATTCCCCGCGCTGAGGTAGAGGAGAGCACCACTCCACGCTCCCCTGCTTCGGCACTGTGGGGCACACACGAGGAGGAGGAGGCGCCTGCCCAGCCCCAACGAGGTAGTTCGGAGTGCCCTCTTCTCCCCCTGTCACCCATCTGGGGACCCTGGCACCCAGGCAGTCTCTTTGGTGGTGGGGGGCTCTGCTGGGCAACCCTGCCCTCCCCGACATAAACCCCCAACCCCAGCCACACCCCAATAAGCTTCACCCCCACCATTCCCACCAATATCCCCATTATTTGCCCCCCCCACGGTGATCCCCCTGAGCTGAGGACCTGGGGGGCTGAGATGCCACCACCCTGGGGGTGTCTCAGGGCAGGGACAGCAAGCCCAGGCAGCGCAGGAGGACTGGGTAGGGGCGTCTGCAGTGGGTAGGGGGTGCAGTATGTGTATCGGGGCTGCAGCGTATAGGGGCTACAATTTATAGGGGCATATCATGCCTGCAGTGTTTGCACGGAGGGTGTGTATGGAGAGGCAGCGTGGGCACCAAGGGTGTGTGCAGGGGACACAGTGTATGCATTGAGGCGTGTACAGGGGCAGCAGTGCGTGCAGCGAGGTGGGTTAGGGGCTGCAGGATGTAGGGGATGCAGCATGCAGGTCCCGGGGGTCCCCCAGGCATCAGGGCAGCAGGAGATGTATGGGAGGGTCACCTGGGGGTGGTGCCTTGGGAAGGAATATGGGTGGGTGTGTGGGGGGGTGTGTGTGTGTGTGTGTGTGTGTGTGTCAGAGGGCACGCGTGGGGATAAGGGACGAAAGGGCCCGCGTGGGTGTTCACAGCCTTGCATGGACACAGCTCAGTATTGCAGCAAGAGACACCTTTGGGTCCCCCATCCCACCCTGGTGGTCCAGCTGGGTCCCACAGCTCAGCCCCCTGGACTCTGGGCACTCCCAGCTGTTTTCAGGGTGGGGGCACATCTGCCTTACAGCGAGGTGCTAGTGGGAGTGTGGCTTTGAGAGGAGGCTGGGAGCAGGGGGTTTGGGGCTGGCATGGGGTTTGGACGGGTCTGGGTGCTCCCTCCACCAGGTGCCAGGGTGGCTGAGGGCCGGCGAGCGAACAGGACACCTGGAGGACAAGAACAAGCAGGTTAGGGCAGCCCAGGGTTGGAGAATCGACTCACCTGGCTCCAGGCACCCAGGCTGGGGAGAGTGGGATGAAGACTCATAGGGGCTTCAGCCCCCTGTCATCACTTGTGGTGTCTCCCCCAACCCAGTCATCCTTGCCTGTGTGGGACAGCCCGTGGGATGGCCCAGGGCCCATTTGGCTGGCAGCCCCTCATGAGGCTTAGCCCTGACCTTTCCTGCTCATTTAATATTTAAGTCCTGAAGGCAAAGCCATTGATTTTAATTGTGGGGTGTCTCAGCAGGACAGGCATGGACCTGGGGAGCATGGGATGGGGATCTGGGGTGCACACTGGCACCACAAAGGATCCTCTGCTCCACCAAAACACCCCAACATCTTTCCCTGCACCATGTTCTGCAATCAGCCAAGTCCCACACCCAGCCAGAGACCCTCTGGGCACAAAAGCTTTGGGCTGACCACAAGTCCAAGCCCTGCCTTTGGGACCCTGCGGTGTGGAATGACCTTAGGTGCGGGGTCACTTCTCAGCCAGAGTCTGTCCATCTGTCCATCTATTCACCCCCCACTTTAGCCCTTCATCACTAGCACCTGCTTTGGGCCAATTTCCATCCTTGTCAACCCCCTCCTCCTCCTGCCCCCTCTCCCCAAGCCCTGCCACTTCATTACGATGGATTTTATAGTAAAGACATCAGATTGAAGGAAGGACTTGCTGGCCAGGCAGTGGCTATAAGTTATTGGATTTCCCGGCCGCAATTACACGGGCCAAGCGGCCCTTCTATTTACCTGTGTAGACAACTCCATTTATTTCTATTGACATGTTGATACTGCTAATGCTGTTGGTGGACAGGTTCAATGCGGTCTCCTGTCTGTCATCTGGGGAAAGGAAATACCAATATGAGAGTTAAGCGAAACAGAAACAAGAACCTGTCCGAGACAGATAAGCCAGGACGCAGTCCCTATGGGCATCCACACTCCTCTCCAGTGAATGCTGCTGCTGCCACCTTGGGTGCCAGAGAAAGGGATGGCCAAGGCTGGGGTGTTGCATCTCTTTACCTCGGTTGGAGATCTTGATGTTCATGGGGAACTGGGAGGCCATGGCCAGGAGGTTGTGCTGAAGTGCATGTTGCACCAGCCGCTGCTGCTCCTCTGCTGTCAGGGCCACCCTCTTCTCTGGGGGCTCCCCTGTCTCCAGCTTCTCCCGCAGCTGCTCCAGCACCACTGCCTGTGAGGCAGCTGCTGCTTGGGCTGCTGTGAGATGGTGGCTGGCCAGTCCCACCGGGATAGCGATGCGCCCCGGCACTGATGCTGCCAGCATTCCATCCTCTGCAATGACCAAGAGAGCTCAGTGGGTCCCTCATCACCACCCCACCTCACCATCCCCAGCGGTGCCAACTCCACCCCACCAGCAATGGGGCAGGGCAGGCCACCCCTCCCAACATCTGAGCTTGCTCCTTCTCCAAAGCCAGGGAAAATACACTGGTTTCACTCTCTGAAAGGGACTAAAAGAACAACGTTGTTCCTATTTTCCCTCAGCAAAAAAAGGTCAAGAGCAGACAGGGAAACATCCCTGCTGCTGCAGCAGTGTCCATCTCTGGGAAGATGGGATCCTCACCCACCTTTCTTAACGCTGTGCACTTGGCTGAGCTGGCCACAGCTGTGAGTGGAGATGCTAAGAGCTGGCAGAGGCATTTTGGGGGTGCCCAGCAGGGTTGGGGTGCTGGCTGGCGAGTAGTTGAAGAGTGCTGTGCCAAAAGTCTGCCTGCGCCCCTCCCGACGGTTGCTGTCGATGGCAGCTTGGAGCTCTCCAGGAGAGCTGAGCGCCCGCTTCTCACATTCGTAGGGATACAGGTACTTCATGTATCTGCACAGGGAGAGAGCCAGGGGGAGATCCACAGCCGTGCACCTCCCAGCCAGCCCCGTGCTGAGCAAAGAGCCCTTGGGAAGGAGCAGAGCCCTCCAACCACCTTTGTGGTACTCCATGTCCAACCCCATCCAGGGCTCTGGGACATCTGAGCAGGTGTCCCAGGAGCAATGTTCCCCACCTGCCATGCCGCCAGGCACTCACTGTGTGCGGAGGGTGAAGGCAGCACTGGTGATGGAGGTAGGTAGGTTGAGACCCTTGGTGATCTCCCGCCAGATCTTCTTGTTGATGACTTCGACCAGGCCACCCTTGTCTGTCACCAGCTGGTACAGTGTGTACAGGTCCAGCACTTGCTTGGCCATGATGGGGATGCGGTTCACTGGTGTTCCTTCCAGAGGCACACAGGGGACACAAGAGGGTGTGGGGGGCTGCCCACAAGGCCCTTTGCACCTGGGATCACAGCCCCCACCCTCTCCCCACTGCCACTGCAGGTATCCACAATGGGAAGCGCATCTCTCCATGCCCAGGTGAGCACCCATGGGCACCTGGGGTGCAGGTAGGACTCCAGGGTGCCTGGGAGAGTGGCACCCCAGCATGCTGGCACAGGGTCACCTTTGATGGAGCTGTCAATGCAGCTGGGTATGCTCTCTGGGATATGGAGCCTCAGTGGGATGGGCAAAGTACCCCCTCCAGATACCCTTAGATAAGATTGTCTCCCTACAATTCTCAGAGCTATCTGTACAGCACCAATCTATGAAACCTCTCAGAGCATCCTAGAATGGTTCACTCTGTAATGCTCTTTCAGAGCTCCATAAAGAGAGACTCCATCTACACTTTAAAAAGAGACCCATCCTGTAACCTTTCTGTAGAGGGATGACCCTCACAACCCTTCTGGGAGGACTCACCCTACTATTTATCTAAGGAGAGGTTTTCTCTTCCAGCTCCAGACTCTTTCAAAGAGTTCCTGAAAAACCTCTTAACCCTACAGATGGCCCCAGAAGTTTCCTCTGCTTAAAGGACTTTAGTGCCCTGCTTCAAGAAACCTGACCCCAAATCCTCTTCAACTGCTCTCAGCAGAGACCCTGACCCCTGGTGCCCCACCATCATCCTCCTTTACAAGTCAATGGGGCAAGGGAACCAGGTTCTGTGGGTTCACCAGGGTTCTGTGAGCCCAGTATAGATCAGCATGGTCTCCACAGCCCCCAAGTCTGGCTAAAATCCCCTCCCCACCTTTTCAGCACCCCCAAAAAACCTCACAGCCTTGCTGTGCTCGATGCCTCCTTGGGATGACGGTCTGGGCATTTGCTGGAAGCTGGGCAGAGGAGGGACAAGCATCACATCCCGTTCCACCCTGTCCCATCCTGTGCCATTCCACCCCCTATTTATTCCTCCTGCGAGGTGGCGGGGCACAGGCAGTATTGGAAAGCCATCCATTTGGCCAAGGGAGGCTGTCAGGACTGCGCTTTGCCCCTCAAACGAAGCCGTCATTCACCGCCATCCTCCAGCATCCCTAATTTATGGCCCTGATATTGGCTTGGCTTCTTCACATAAGCCTGAAAAATGAGCTCTTTTTATTCTTTTACTGAGTTCATTTAACTTTTTTTTTTGTGTGTGTCTGTGTTGTTCACCAGGTCGGGAAGGGGGAGAGGAGTTTATCCTCTTGGGAGAAAGGCAGAGATATTGACTTGACATCTGCTGTCAGCAGCTCGCCAGCTCTGCTCGGGGCTGCTGGCACAAGACCCATCACCTCGGGGGGCCAGTTTGAGGGCTCTTCCTCACCCCCAAACAGTGAGTTTTCAGGGTCTCAGCCCCCAGCCAATGGCCTATAGATTTCTCTTCTCCCATCTCCAGCCTTGGCAGCTTATGAACGTGCCTCACCATTAATCTCAGGGCTGTGTGGGGCGTGCGGCCAATGCCTGTCCCACTGACAAAGGCACCTGTCTGCATCCCCACAGAGTGATGGCCCTAGCTACAGCCAGGGCGAAGGGCACAAAAGCCTAGGGAGGTGTTGCAACAATTGTGGGGCTGCAATTAGCACCTTGACTGATTAATAGCCCCGTATTATCAGCAGGGCACTCAGCTTGGTGGTGAAATGGGGGGCGGCTGGCAGACCCCAGTAAGCAAATGCAGAAATAGCCCCCTACTGTCCCTGATTACTGCCTTTGAGATGCCATAGAAATTGCGGCATGGCCATGAGCTGCCCCACTGCCTGTGTCTGATGGTGGTGGTGGCACAGCCTCCATGAGCCACCAGGGCCAGCTGTGCCCTTGTGCCATGGGGTGGCCTCAGAAGGTCTGCCCCCCAACCCATTCTTCAGCCCTACAAATCTCCCACTCTGCTGACAAATGTCAGTGCTGATACTGTCCTGACAGACAGCTGGCGGGATGCAGTCTCTTTCAGCACGGCTCACTCTGTGAACATCAATCCCTCCTGGAGACCTTGCGGACACAGCCTGGGTGTCACAGTCCCCTGCCCATGCACCTCTGGGTGCCCCAGCTGCACCTGCACCTGCAGTGGTTCTCAGGTGCTGCTTCTTACCCAGCTCTTGATGACCCCTGGGATGCTGTCCTTGCCCCTCAGTCTTCTGTCCCCTTTCTCTTGGGTATCCCAGTCCAAAATCCCTGTCTCCTCCAAAAGGTTCATGGACACCAATCCCTGCACACCTGCACCTATGCACCCACACCCTGCCTCCCCTCCGAGTGGATGGCACCCACTCAGGGGGAGGCAGGACAGAAGGGATGGAGGGCACAGGAGTGGGACATCCAGACACAGAGGGATGTGGAGCAGCACTGTCAGGGAAGCATTAGGCTCCCTCCCTCATCCCCACACCAGCAGGCACTTACTTAATTAGCCCCGGCCCCAATAGCGAGGGAGTTAATTAGCTCTGGAGAGAGAGATAATGAAGCTGCAGAACAGCCCATGAATCTTGTAGCTGATGGATGCTGGAGGGCCGAGGTAGTGCTGATGCTCCCACTCACTCCCCACAGCTGTGCACCAGGGCCAGGGGGCACCCATGGGGCAGTACCCAGCCCACCCACAGCCTACAGCAGGCCCCAGCATAGGCTGGGGGGCTGCAGCCCTCCGGCCGTGCCAGCCACTCACCACACACCCGTGACTGCAACAAGTATGTGGTGTCCCAGCCCAACCCAGAACTCAATCTCTGCAGCCCCACAGCCAGGTGGGGACCCTCACCACCCTTCCAATGGTCAGGGCATGCAGGCGACTGCCCCCTCTGCCCTCTCTCGCCCATGCACAGCCAGCCCCAAAGCTCCTGCACCCCCCTCAGCCTTTCCCCGTTAATTAGCTCGGCATTAACCTCTGCCTGGGGTTTACTGGCTATCGAGCGGCTTGTTCATTAATCCACACACCAGCAAAAGGCTCTAATTAATACGGCCGGCCACACGCCCGCGCTCGGCAACTTTTAATTGTCGCAGGCCCGGCCGGGGAGGGCGAAGGTTAAAGCATTTATCGAGTCCCCGGGAGCCGGCTCGGCTCCCCATGCCGATAGCAAAGATTTCCGATGAGGATGGGTTGGCTGGCGAGCCCTTAACCCCTGGGTGCCCGGCGCTGTCCGGAGTGCCGGCCCCACTCCCGCAAATCACAGGCATCACTGAGAGGTGCTGATGGTGGGCATCCTCACCAGGCGCTGCTAACAGGGAGCCCTAAAGGGCACTGCTAAGGGCATTCCCACCGGGCATCCCTAAAACGTCCTGAAAACTGCTAATGGGCTTCATTAAGGGGTGTTGCTAATGCTTGTCACCAAGGGCGTATGTCCCCCACCAGGTGTTTCCAGCGGGCATCCCTGCTGGGCATCGACAATGGGATATCTGGGACAGCTGCCCCAGCTTGGGGTTTGGGGGGAGGCCCAGGGGGAGCACCACAACACCTGCCTGAGGGATTTGCAGAGACCTGGAGCAGCTCAGAGCCGGAGAGCAACACACCATGACCCCCCACCAGCAGCCGAGGCAGGGGTGGCAGTGGCACCCACCCCAGCCACCCACCTTTACCTCTCTTCTGCATGAAGCCAAAGAGGTCATCCAAGAATTCCTTGCGTTTCGGGTCCTCATCCAGTTCATAGAGCTGGAGGCAGGAGAGAGAGAGAGGGGTCAGTGCTTCCAGCACATGCAGGTGAGAATGGGGAGGGGAGCAGTGCCTGGGGCTGAGCACTGCCTGTGCCAGAACCTGGCATCACCCCTGGCCCCACCTGCCTGCCCTGCCAGCAACAAGAGGCTCTCTGTGCACCCCTAACAGAATCCCCTGACACATCCTCTGCCTGGGTGCGGGCTCTCCCTGTGCCTTGGGTCTGGCACGGGCTCCCCACAAACCAATGACTATTCTGAATCTTTGCTGCAGAGATGCTGGGTCTGTGCCTCAGTTTGTCCTGCCCCTCACCCTCTTACATGCAAGAATCACAGCCCAGAGGCATCAGCAAACCCCAAGCCCCAGAGAGGAGCCCGGGATCAGGATGCTCAGCTCTGCTCTGGCACTGCCAAGTGTTGGTGTTCCCCAAGTCCCAGCATGGGATCAGCATCCTCATCAGCCCTTATTCTCCACAGGGACACAGGCCCACCTGAACAGTGAGGGATGATCCCATCCTGGGGAAGGAAAAGTTGGCTTGACCATACCACAGGGTACCATCAAGAGAGGTGCAAGTGCCAGGGCTGCCATGTGCCCAGGATTGCACAGACAGAAACATGTGGCTGTGAGGACACTTATGGTGGATGGTCTGGACACACAGACACAGCCTGAGCTGAGGGACAGCACTGGGAAGGTGAGTGGAGCCCCTACATCAGGGACACCAAGTGCTGGCTCCCTGTGAGAGTCCGGGCTCGCCTGATTCCAGCACAGCGCCTGAGTGACCATGACAAATTGGAGCCTGCCAGATCGATGGCCCAGCAGTAAAAGTCAGAGCACATGAAGGAAAAATTAGCACCAATCGAAGACACTATAGACACCAATTCCTCCCAGCAAGCCCGGCAAGAATTTAAAGCCATTGAAAAGAAACAAAACTCAGCAGTCCAGAATGGATTTCCAAAACGTATACAAAGAAATGCAAGCTGGAAAACAAAGTCAGGCACAAAATAGAGTCGTTTAAAAAACAATTGTGCTGGGAAAGGCCGTTAAAAAACAATAGAAAGGGAGCACACCCCCGGCTCCACACAGAACATCATTCACCAGACAGATAAAGGGAGCTGCGCTTAAGGGTCGTCAGGCTGCAGGCACACGGGGATGTGGGGATGTGGGGATGGGGGTGGATGCCACGGGGACACATGAATTCAGAGATACAGGAATGTACGGATGTGGGTCTGCAGGGATTCAGGGGACACGGGGATGGGGTGATGCAGGGATGGAATCAGAAAACATGAATACAGGGATATGAGAATGTAGGGATGTGGGGTGTAGAGACTTTGAGGACATGGAGATGTAGGATGTAGGGATGGGGGAATGTGGGGACCTACAGGGATGTGAGGATGCTTCTACAGACCCCACGGTTCCCACCACTGAATAGACACACCTAACTCAGTCCCTTGTCTAAGTCAGGTGCCAGCTGCCTGTCCCTTGTCAGACAGAGCGGTGCTAACTGACTGCCCCTAACTTGTCTAGGGGTACAACTCCCAGACTCTCACCCTGCTCACAGGTGCTGACTGCCTGGCTCCATGGAGCTCCTTCTGCACTGCTTCCCCACTCTCTGGATCCCACTTACCTATCCCCTCCTTGCAGCTGGGTGCTCTTGGAGTGCCCTGACCCCAGTACTGTGTCCCTCTTCACCGCAGTCTTCCCTTCCTCACTCCCTATCGCCTGCTCTTTTCCAGGAGGTCCCTGAACCATTGATTGCACTAACTAGGTCAGGCTCTGAGCAGAGCTCCAGGGGGCTGCTTTGATTTCTGCCCCAGGAACGCTGTGTCAGCCAAGCTTTGCCGGCATTTTTCTGCCCGTCCCTGCCTCTGGAAGGCCTCCACACCAAGCGCTTTGACATCCCCTGACATCTGGCTTGTCAAGGCAGGGGCAAACCCCTAGAATTGGCAACTACCACTCATCCCACTGCAAGGTGAAGCCATGGCCTTCCTGAGGGTCGCCTAGTGGATGGGCTTCAGCACCCACACACCACTTCCCTGGGTGCCACTCATGTTTTTCCTCCCATGGATGCAGGCGGGATCCCCCCTAGAGTGGGCTGCTACTGACTCCAGCCCCAAAAACAGGTGTGACCACCAAGGGCCAGGTTCTCTTTTTCCACTGTTTATTAACCTCTAACCTTTTATCTGTGGGACACTGAGATGCAAAAACACATTACATCAAACGGGGAGCAAAGGTCAGCTTTTAAGTGGAGATGAGAGCAGAGCTGAGTAACTGGGGACAAGCTGGCATGGCCCCTGGGTACGCCTGGGATGCACGGGGTGTTCCATGGGGTTTGGGGATGCCCAGGCTGGAGAAGAGGTCTCCTGGGTCACACATAGTTGCTGTGCAGGGACACATGCCTCACCTGGGTGTGCATAACCCCACAAGGGCTGCCACAATCCCACATGGGGGTGCACAAGCCCATGTGAGCGTAGACAACCCTACACAACAACACCTGAGCTTGCACAACCCCACAGGTGTGCACAGCCTTGTGTGGGTCCACACAACCCCACAGGAGTGTGCACAGCCCCTTGTGGGCATTGCACAGCTCCACATAAGCAAAAGCACAACCCTGTACAGGGACACAGATCCCTCTAGTGCCACACAGAAGGTGGAATGGGTATGTACAATCCTGTACAACCTTGCATTGGTGTGCACAGCCCTTCAGGGACACACAGAACATCACAGGAGCGTGCAAAAGCCTGTGGTGCACATGCACACACAACCCACAGGCGCAAAAATCCCTACACAGGCACACACAGCCACGTCTGGAAGTGCACAGCCTCCCACGGGCAGGTGCAGCAGTCTGGTGTGTGCCCAGACTTCCATGGGCACACTCCAGACTGCAGGAGCATCCACAACCCCATACACACATCATGGGCACGCAATCCAAATGTGCACGCACAGCCCAGATGGAACACGCACGTTGCTGTACGTGCACCCACAACCCAAGACTGGAACACACAACACCAGACAGGCATTCACAACCCCATGTATACATGCACAATTCTGGACAGGCACTCACAACCCCGGAGGGGAATGTACAACCCCAGAACAGAACACACGACTCTAGACAGGCATGCACAACCCTGACAGCACACACAAATCCCAGCTGGGCATGCACAGCCCCAAATGGGCAAACAGAGTCCCATACATGCGTGCACAACCCCAAACAGACACACACAACCCCATATATGCACACACAACCCTGTACGTGCATCCACAACCCCAGATGGGCACACAGAGCCCCAAACAGGAACACAGAACCCCAGAAGGGGATTTACAGTCCCACACATGCCTGCACAACCCCAGACAGGCACTCCACATGGATGGGCACCCCTGACCCTGCAAGGCACATGCTGCCCCAGAGCATCCCCCTGCCACACGCCTTGGAGCAGTGGTCTGAGCCTTGCCCAGGGGCAGTTGTGCAACACAAGCAGCGGCTCCTGCTTGTGGTGACCTATGAGCAAGGACCCTTTTAATCGTGTTTGTATTGATATAATTAGTAACTCATTTAACGCCATCGATGTAACTATATTCCTCTATAAACGGAAGTATTAAACTGTCAAGCCCTGGGATCAATATGCCGCCGGTGTGCAGCGCAGCCCTGCTCTGCCAGCCTCGGGGACCCATCCATGCTTGGCCACCCCACTGGCCTTGGGACCCCACCCGCACCCCAGCTCCACCTGGCCCTACTGGCCTGGGCGCTGGTGCAGGACTAGCTCAGTGTGTCCTCATCCCACACCCCACGCTGGGCGCTGGGTGTAGCTCTGAGACCTGCTCCCTCCTGTCATCCCATTGCCATGGCGACATCTATATTCCTTAAGGGATGGGGATAACGGGGCTTGTCAGGCAGGTTAAAGGTCAGTGGGTCGAACATGGTTTATTAACAGGACGTGAATAGGCCTTGTGCTTCCTCCTCCTCCTCCTCCCCACGATTAAGTAACATTGTTAACACCACTCATTCACCCAGGACATGACTTTCCTGGAGCCAGGAGGGCTTCTAGAGATGAAGCTTGGGTCCCTGAGACCCCTTAGCCTAGCTGACACACTAGACAAGAGGATCAGGATCCACCATCACATCAGGATGTGATGAGGTGCTAAGCCACCTGCCAGGCACTTCAGCTTTCCCTGTGTGAGTCCCCACACACCTGCCAAGCACTTCAGCTTGCCCTGGTGAGTCCCCCCCACCCTGGGCCCTGCTGGCAAGAGAAATGATCTCAGTGAGACCCCCACAGTCCCCGCCCAGCTGCCACCTCCTGCTGGCAGCGAGGGCTCAGATCAGCAGCCAGGATTTAATCCACTTAATATGAGCTGTATCGATCCTAGACCCTGCTCAGCTCCCCCCCACCATGCAAACCCCCCAACCCTGAGCTGCTTAATATCCACTACATTGATTAGCCACACTGCTAATTTTTCCATCTGGCCACTGTTCACGCAGCACACCCAGGTAATGCTCACCTCCCTGCACCCCCCAGCCACACACCACGGGTGGCTGACTGCTGATGCACTGTTTTGGAGTCACTGCACCTCTCCAGAGCTCGACTGCTGCCTCTGAGATCCTTCCCGAGGAGGATGGTTGGTGCAGAACTAAGCACCCAGACACTGGTGTGTCCTCCCCTGTGCCCTGCTGGCATGCCTCAGTTTACCCTGCAGATAATCATTCCCAGTCAAGGCACAGCCCTGAGCACACTGGGGTTCAGGGATCCCAACAGTATCCACAGTTGGAGTCTTCCCTGCCATAGGGCACACACAACAAACTAAGGGTTTGCGGCTCCCTCCCCCCATCCCCATAGCCAGAGCTGGGGGGCAATTCACTCCCCGCCAGGCACAAACCACCCCCTGACCTTGCAAGCCACCACTCGCCTCTTCCACCGGTTGTTAATAAGTTAATGGTTACGGGACGGCTGTGCCGGGACGGCCGGCTGCATTCGCAGGCAGCGCTGGCTCGTGGGGGGCACGCT